TCCAATGGTTGAACGTGACTCGTAAACTCATCAGAGGTTGTTCATCGAGTTTAAGGTATTACAGGTTGAGTTTTATGAGTTTTAAAACGATTTAGGTAAAACCTAAACTGATAGAATGGTAGAATAAAATGAGGCAAGTTCGTTGATATTTTGAATGGTGGAAGAAGACAATGGAGAATAGTAATTACAGGGTTGGGGTGACATATATAGAAATGAAACTATAAAACTTTATCTTTAGAGGAAGAAGATAAAATAAAATAATAAAGAAAAAGTTAAAATGATGTGGATGACACATGGATTTCATATCAGTAAAAATCATTTCACATCAACACACTTGTGGCATGTTATCCTTTCACTTATAATTTAATACCTAAGAAACCAAATAGGAGCCAATCGATAATTTAATGACTAAATTAAAATTTTTAAACTTTAGTGAATAAAACATGAGCGAAAACAAAGTTGAGTTATGAAATTTATAGTTTACCCTAAATCAATTCGAAAGGCTTAATAGTAAATTTGGATTTTTTTATAGTTCAATGATCAAAATGAGACAACACCTAGAGTTTAATGACTAATGGTGTAATTTACCAATTTATAAATCTATTTACAGAGTCAAGATTCTTAATGTTGGAACACTTCTTCACTGCTTTGGGTTTTTTTATTTATTTCTTGACCGAGACAACTTTGGGTGTTACGATTACTTCCAAATGTTCAGCTTCCATGCTCCAGTTTGTAAATTTCCTGAAAAGCATCTCTTTGTACTTGTTAGAATAACTTAATATATCTTTATATACTGTTGCTGGCTTCCATGAAGACCATACAGCCCCAAATCTTTTTATCTTTTTGTCTCTCTTGTTGTGAGTTGATTCTTCCTCCAGGCATGGATCAAAGTTTGAGAACAGCTGCTCGTGTAGGAAATGTTAGTGAATTGTATACATTAATTCACAGGAACGGAAATGTTTTGAGGCGCCTCGACGAGGTTGAGTTCATCGAGACTCCTTTACACATAGCTGCAGAAGAAGGGTGCCTCGGATTTGCGATGGAGATTATGAGCTTAAAGCCATCCTTTTCTAGGAAGCTAAGCCAACAAGGTCTGAGCCCCATGCATCTCGCCGTCGAGAGAGGGCATAAGGAGATGGCGCTACGTATCTTGGAAATCGATTCCGGTCTTGCTCGAATCAAAGGGAAGAATGGTGAGACTCCTCTGCACTACATTAGTAAATTTGGAAACTGTGATGATCTGTTGCATAAAATGTTGGAGGCTTCCCCTGATTGTATCCGAGATGTTACAAATCAAAACCGCACTGCTTTGCATATGGCAGTGGAAAACAAAAGACTAGACGTCCTCCAAGTACTAATTGGAGCGCTTAGGAGGAAAGACTATTACAGAGAAACGGTGAACCGAAAGGACGAAGAGGGTAACACCGCGCTGCACTTAGCTGCAAGAAATAATCAACTTGAGGTTCGATTCATCTACTTTCATGATTAAAATATATGGATTCTTTTGTATTTCATATACATGATTAATTGATTGTACCATTTTTATAATAAAACAGATGGTGAAGCTGCTATTAAACTGCAAAGCAGATAGGCAAGCCAAGAATCAGCATGGTTTGACAGCATTGGAGGTTGCAGAACAACATAATAGCAGAGAAAGCGTAATTGTTCTACGTGGTTTCTGTATTCCAATAGTGTCAAACATTTCTCATCAGTTTGATAAACAAATCATCAAATATGTGACGAAAGCATCATCGTTAATTTTTCACGATATGGAGAATATATCAGCGCAGGACCGCAATACTTTACTAGTAATTCTTGGACTCCTGCTGACTGCTACCTACCAAACAAGTCTCAGCCCACCAGGAGGCGTTTGGCAGGCCGACTGTTCTTCGAGCTCCCCTGGTTCGAAACTTATCGAAAGAAGGGAATCACCAGGGAGTATAGGGACAGCAGTGATGGATCAATACTATTTCCTTCTGTTCTACAGTCTAACCTACGTCGTCTTCATAGCAGCCTTTTTCCTAACACTAGCACTGCTTAAACCTTTCCCCCTTGGTATCAGAACAGCACTTCAATTACTTCTTGCGTTTCTCGCACTCTGCTTCGACCAATCGGTATCTACCATAGCACCAACCTTTTCGATAGCTATAACTCTACGTACATTTTCGACGACCATTTTCGTTTTCATGTTGTTCATGTGTATATCATACAAGGTGTCAAAACTCAGTGTCTCGATCGTCGGATGTTGGATATTCCCTTCGTTTTCGCTTTCCATTCTCGCCGGAGGAGTAGTTGTAGGTGTAATTCAAGGATTCTTGTTATTCCTTATCCTATATGATGAGTTCTGGAAAGGAACCTTGTTAGTCGTAGGTTACAGTCTATTTGTTAGTGGGGGTTATAGTAGTGGTTATGGCTGGAAATACCCTACAGCATTCATAGCATACTGGTTATTACTTAATATATGTCGATTTTGCATAAAGCGTTGTATTAAATGTTGTAAAGTTTTTCAATTTAATTTTAATTCGATCTGTATGGTTGCTATTACAACAGTTAGGAGAACGTGGATCCAAACACGTTTTAAGTTGGAATATCCTTCGATTTAAGGATTTGTAAAGTCTAAATAGTTTAAGAATTGTATAAAAATAATTGAACCAAGTTGACGATCGGACACTGGTTCTTGTTTTGTATATATTTGCAGTTTTGTCAATTTATTGTCTTTTTTAAGGCTTACCAATATGGCTTTCTTCTTCACAACTGATCAATTTAACAAATAATATTACATACATTGTTTCCTACATAATTAACTGATTCCAGCTTGCATGTCCTAAACTGTTAATTGAACAGATGCTTCAATTATTATTAAACTGCAAGAATGATAAGCATGTGATAACCGTCGTTTCGCTATCAAAATAATTCCTGACTTCTTAATTAAATATAAAGGAAAAGGTAGTATAGAGAAGTAGAGTCGATCCACAGGGACTATGGTTTTTTGATTTAGTAAAACTCTTTTGATTTAAAGGAAAATAGATTTTCAGATAAAGTTGAAAAGATTTAATAAAATAAAATAGATAATAATAAAATATAATAAATTAATAAATTATAATAGTAAAGATAAAAAAGGGAATCTTTAAAAGTTGTTTTTTAATAACAGATAACAATTAAATAAAACAAAACAAATAAATAAATAATTTAAAGAGATTGAGATAAAGAGAAACTTATAGTGAAAGCAGCCTCAGACTTCAGCTTTGTCTCAAATTCCTTGGATCATCGAAACATATTTTTACTTCAAGATTCACGTCGGCTTACAAGGACAATTTTTCGCTGCCAACTCGGATTGTGTCGTTTCAACAATAACTGATTTCGATCTCAGTTTCCTCATAGCAAACAATTTTGCTAAGTGTGTTCTTGAGAAGTTGAATATGCTTCAATAAGCAAATCCTTCTTCAAACGTTAATCATAACAATATCCGAACCAATGTCGAAATCGCTTTGATTTGAAAAGTAAGCTCAGAAAACAGAGAGAAAATCCGAAGCGATTTAAGTACCTTATAATTCTCACGTTTGGAATTGAGCATTCGCTTTAGTCTTCGGCTTGAAAGAAAATTAGCTTAGCATAATTGAAAGTATGCGAAAAAATAGAGAGAAAGCTAGAGAGAAAAAAGAAGATTTTATTCTCAGATGAGAGATATGTTTCTAGGCATACCCTGAGAGGGTATTTATAGCCTTCAAATTCCTAAAATCAAGTTAAATCATCTTAAATCCTAATTAAAACACTTTAAACTATTTAAACTAAAATACCTAAAAAAAATATTTAAAATAATATTCTAAATCCTAATTAAAATACTAAAACCTATTTAAACTAAAATACCTAAAACAAAGATAAAATATAAAAATAATAACCTAAGACTTAATTAAAATACTAAAACATTTTTAAACTAAAATACAAAGATAAAATACAATGTTTAAAATATTATCCTAAACTTGAGTTTAATTCAAATCCGAATTCCAACAACTTTGATTCCAAAAATAAAAAAAAAACTGTAGAATTCTGTCCTTTTTGTGCAATTTTCATAATCTAGCGTCCTGCATAGAAAATGAATCAAAACGAACAATTAAGTCACAAAACCAATTATTAAGGTCATTCAATGGTTGAAATTGACTTGTAAACTCATCAAAGGTTGTTCATCGAGTTTAGGGTATTACAGGTTGAGTTTTATGAGTTTTAAAATGATTTAGGTAAAACCTAAACTGATAGAATGGTAGAATAAATTGAGGGAAGTTCGTTGATATTTTGAATGGTCGAAGAATATACTGGAGAATAGTAATTACAGGGTTGGAGTGACATATATAGAAATGAAACTATAAAACTGTATCTTTAGAGGAAAAAGATAAAATAAAATAATAAAATAAAGAAAAAGTTAAAATGATGTGGATGATACCTGTATTTCATATCAATAAAAAGCATTCCACATCAACACATTTGTGGCATGTTATCATTTCACTTATGATTTAATACCCAAGAAACCAAATAGGAGTTAATCGATAATTTAACGAGTAAATTTAAATTTTTAAACTTTAGTGAATAAAACATGAGCGAAAACAAAGTTGAGTTATGAAATTTATAGTTTACCCTAAATCAATTCGAAAGGCTTAATAGTAAATTTGGATTTTTTATAGTTCAATGATCAAAATGAGACAAAACCTAGAGTTTAATGACTAATGGTGTAATTTACCAATTTATTATTCTATTTACAGAGTCAAAATTCTTAAAGTTGGAACACTTCTTCACTGCTTTGGGCTATTTATTTATTATTTCTTGACCGAGACAACTTTGGGTGTTACGTTTACTTCCAAATGTTCAGCTTCCGTGCTCCAGTTTGTAAATTTCCAGACAAAGTATCTCTTTTTGCTTGTTTGAATAACTTAATATGTCTTTATATACTGTTGTTGGCTTCCATGAAGACCATACAGCCCCAAATCTTTTTATCTTTTTTGTCTCTCTTGTTGTCAGTTGATTCTTCCTCCAGGCATGGATCAAAGTTTGAGAACAGCTGCTCGTGTAGGAAATGTTAGTGAATTGTATACATTAATTCACAGGAACGGAAATGTTTTGAGGCGCCTCGACGAGGTTGAGTTCATCGAGACGCCTTTACACATAGCTGCAGAAGAGGGGTGCCTCGGTTTTGCGATGGAGATTATGAGCTTAAAGCCATCCTTTTCTAGGAAGCTAAACCAACAAGGTCTGAGCCCCATGCATCTCGCCGTCGAGAGAGGGCATAAGGAGATGGCGCTACGTATCTTGGAAATCGATTCCGGTCTTGCTCGAATCAAAGGGAAGAATGGTGAGACTCCTCTGCACTACATTAATAAATTTGGAAACTGTGATGATCTGTTGCATAAAATGTTGGAGGCTTCCCCTGATTGTATCCGAGATGTTACAAATCAAAACCGCACTGCTTTGCATATGGCAGTGGAAAACAAAAGACTAGACGTCCTCCAAGTACTAATTGGAGCGCTTAGGAGGAAAGACTATTACAGAGAAACGGTGAACCGAAAGGACGAAGAGGGTAACACCGCGCTGCACTTAGCTGCAAGAAATAATCAACTTGAGGTTCGATTCATCTACTTTCATGATTAAAATATATGGATTCTTTTGTATTTCATATACATGATTAATTGATTGTACCATTTTTATAATAAAACAGATGGTGAAGCTGCTATTAAACTGCAAAGCAGATAGGCAAGCCAAGAATCAGCATGGTTTGACAGCGTTGGAGGTTGCAGAACAACATAATAGCAGAGAAAGCGTCATTGTTCTACGTGGTTTATGTATTCCAATAGTGTCAAACTTTTCTCATCAGTTTGATAATCAAATCATCAAATACGTGACGAAAGCATCATCGTTAATTTTTCACGATATGGAGAATATATCAGAGCAGGACCGCAATACTTTGCTAGTAATTCTGGGACTCCTGCTGACTGCTACCTACCAAACAAGTCTCAGCCCACCAGGAGGCGTTTGGCAGGCCGACTGTTCTTCGAGCTCCCCTGGTTCGAAACTTATCGAAAGAAGGGAATCGCCAGGGAGTATAGGGACAGCAGTGATGGATCAATACTATTTCCTTCTGTTCTACAGTCTAACCTACGTCGTCTTCATCGCAGCCTTTTTCCTAACACTAGCCCTGCTTAAACCCTTCCCGCTTGGTATCAGAACAGCACTTCAATTACTTCTCGCGTTTCTCGCACTCTGCTTCGACCAATCGGTATCTACCATAGCACCAACCTTTTCGATAGCTATAACTCTACGTACATTTTCGACGGTCATTTTCGTTTTCATGGTGTTCATGTGTATATCATACAAGGTGTCAAAACTCAGTGTCTCGATCGTCGGATGTTGGATATTCCCTTCGTTTTCGCTTTCCATTCTCGCCGGAGGTGTAGTTATAGGTGTAATTCAAGGATTTTTTATATTCCTTGTCCTATATGATGAGCTCTGGAAAGGAACCTTGTTAGTTGTAGGTTACAATCTATTTGTTAGTGGGGGTTATAGGAGTGGTTATGGCTGGAAATACCCTACAGCATTCGTAGCATGCTGGCTATTACTTAATATATGTCGATTTTGCATAAAGCGTTGTATTAAATGTTGTAAAGATTTTCAATTTAATTTTAATTCGATCGGTATGGTTGCTATTACAACATTTAGGAGAACGTGGATCCAAACACGTTTTAAGTTGGAATATCCTTCGATTTAAGGATTTGTAAAGTCTAAATAGTTTAAGAATTGTATAAAAATAATTGAGTCAAGTTGACGATCAGATACTGGTTCTTGTTTTGTATATATTTGCAGTTTTGTCAATTTATTGTCTATTTTAAGGCTTACCAAGAAGGCTTTCTTGTTCATAAATGATCAATTTAACAAACAATATTCCATATATTCTTTCGTACATAATTAACCGATTCTAGCTTGTATGTCCTAAACTGTTAATTGAACAGATGCTTCAGTTATTCTTAAACTGCAAGGCTGATAAGCATGCTACCAATCAAGAATTTTTTATGGCACTGGATTGTTGAGACTGAATGCTTCTAGATAAATATATAATTATGTTTTAGGAGATATATTTTGAAAATATTCTAAAATAATATAAAAATATTATATTTCTAAAAATATTTATAAAATAATTTAGATATTTGTAGTATTTAATATTATGCCAAGAGTTATCTATGGAAGAACCTAGATATTTATAACACTATGACTAAGATGTTGACATTTATCAACATTCCAATGGTCATTAAAATCTATAAATTTCAGTGAGATTCACTCTTGTGAAATGATAAAAAAAGAGAGTGGAAAGTGTGCAAAAGGTGTGAGTTAGAGACAAAAAGCTTAAAGGTAGATAAAAGAAAAATAGTGAGGTAAGTGTGAAACATTGTAATTGTATTGTGTGTTAATAAAAGTGTTCTCTATTCTATAATTATAAGTTTCTCAATTAATCCTTAGTCTATTTTAATTTCTTGGTACACTTGTTTTAGTTTTAATAAATGATCGATTCTACTGCCTAAATAATATATCATCGGTTTTTCCATTTGATTGATATATGATCGACTTTGTTGCCTAAATGATATATGATTGAACAAAAATCTTCTATCCTGGAAATATGCCCCTAATTTTGCCCCACAATACTTTTATGACATATGTTTTAGTTTAACTCTACAGTAAACGACAACCGTTTCTATTTAGATTTATTGCTACAATCATTAAATTTTTCTCAAAACAAAGCAAAACCACTAAAACAAGAAATTCGAAGATATGCATATAGAAATTAATAAAACTGTGGAGTGAGGGTAATGTTGATTGCAAGAATATAAATTTTAGTTCCATACAATAGAGTTTATAACTACGATATTTACAAATTATAGCTAAATCTATGTCAAAATTTTGCCTACTTTTCTTCACAATCGTAATAGCCAAAAGATTAGTATCTTCCTGGTCGACAGTTGAATTTGCTATAACAACAAAAAGATGATTGCCAAAAGATTGGTATCTTCCTAGTCGACGGCCAAATTTGTTATAACAACAAAAAGATTGTCTTCTACTAAAGATAATGTGTTTTGATTTTAAAAACAACATTCAAATGTGTTTTGATTTTAAAAACAACATTCAAAGGGTTGTTTTGACATTCATTGAGACAAATCACATTTAGCCGCAACTAAATATGTCACAATACATTCACAATTTTATTATACTTACCAACATTCAAATTATTTTGAAGAATTTTCTAATAAATGAAATATTTGATGTCTTTAAATCAAAGTTTTCTAATTCCGAGACTGCAATTCAAACCCACCTAAACTGCTATAAAGCAATAAAAGAAGAAGGGTAAAAAAAGTGATTCATATAAGACATATCTCTAAATTTCTTGTTTACTATGAAAAATATTTGAATATATTTTCCAAATACACAAAATAATTTTAAATAGTAATCTAAACTTCTAAACTGATTTGCTCCAATAATTTATGACACGCGGCGTTATGATGTCAAAATAAATAGCCTTAATCTCAATAAATGAATAAGAGTAAATAGAACCACAGGGACTAGGAGTTTGACAATTTCCTCGCTTTTGATCTGGCTTCAGGCGTGATTTGTAAGAAAAAATAAGAGTGGGTTTGAGAGTTGGAATAAAAAGTAAATTGTATAAGAAAAATAAAGAAAGTAGACTAAGTAAATTTTAAGTGAAAATTCAATTGCTAAAAATCGGCCTTGTGCTAAAGCTTTTGCCTCAATTTTCGATCATCGAATAGGATTTAGCTTTGGGCTCACGATGGTTTCATTCTATAGAGCCCTCCCCTATAACTTGATTGTTTCTCTCAAATGAATCGAGAATCTAAAATCTATCTTTAGATCTCGATTCTTTGTGAGTTAATAGCGACAATCACTTATTAATTCAATGCTTTAAAAATCTGGAAAAACCCGACTCGAATCCTACGTCTCAATTGAGAATCTAACTCGATTTAAGTTTCCTTTAGCAAACCGTCAAAGAGTGTGTTCACATGAATTCGAATGTGCCACAGGCCGCTCCTTCCTCCCAACTATTAATATAACCCCAAATTCAATTCCAACGTGCACTTTTTGAAATGAAATCACTTTGATTGTAAAAGGATGGTCGATTACCGATAATTGATTTCTGAAAACTAAAAATGTAACCCTTGAGAGTATGAAGCGTTTTTCTATTCTCACGACTTAGAATTGAGTCATTGCTCTAGCCCTTGGCTATAGAAAACTTAGCTGAGCATGGTATAAATCATACTTAGCATTTTGAAAGAAAAATGAAGTAACTTGAAATATAAAAAGAAAGAAAAAATTTATAAATCTAAAGAAATAAAGAAATAAGAGAGTTTGAAAATGATTGAATGCTCAAGTGATGAGTTGAATATGCTTTGAGGCTTACCCCAATGTGGTATTTATAGTCCTCAAAAACCCTAGAAAATAATATTCAAAACAAAAGATAATTCCTAAATATAATTCTTAAAAATAAAAATAAGATAAATTCTAATTTAAAATAAAAAATTCAGCTAAGTCTCATTCTCCATGCCACTGCTGATTGGATCTTCTAGAAGTTGATGACTAGAACTTCTACAAGTTATTGATTGGGCGCCACATCACCTGCCACATCAACTGCCATGTCATCACCACATCAATTGCTGACTAGATGCCATGTCAGGTTTGCCATGTCGGGTGTGTAATGTCCCAAGTCATGTCCACTAATCCGGCCTTGAATCCAGAAAAATAAAAAATTGCACGATTTCGTTGTTCTTAGCATAATTTTTGGAATTCAATGTCTTGGATCGAAAATGAATGAAAAGGCCCAAGTTAACAACTAAAATTATCTAATCAAAGAGTAATTAATCATAAAATAATGTATAATTTAAACACTAATCAAATTCTCCCTCGCTTATTTAATGTTTGTCCTCGAGCATTTCTCAACTATCATGCTAAAAATCTCAAGTTGGAAACTTCAATTCCATAGAATTTCTAAGCAAATTCAACCAAGCAAATGTCGAGATTTAAGATCAATCAAGCAAGGCATAAACAATTAACTGTAAATCAATCATGGCATTTCAATCATCCGTCAATTTCAAAGAATACAAGACTTAGTTTCTCATTGGTTCACTCATTTCGCTCAAGTGTTTCGTGTGAAAGAATCGCTCAAGCTTAAACTAATCGACACATTACCATAGGCTTGTAACTAAATCTAATCTCCACTACTTCGTATGAAAATGATGCAATAATTAAGAGGACTTTCAAACGGGTTGTAATGGGGCTAAGGTTTGGGTAGGATAAAGGCCAAGAAATGGGGTTTCAAAAATTCAAGACAAAGTAGAGACTATTACGAAAATTTATTCAAAGGAAGATAAAGATGAAAGGAAGGCGAAACAAGAAAAACAAAGGTTTATTCACTCAATTTTTCTGTTTTTTTCTTTTTCCTTTTTCAAAACATTCTGTATTTTTCTTTTTTTCTCTACTCGAACAAAAAAAAAATTCTACACTGAATTTTCTGCTCACTCGAATCCAAACTGCATTATTTGAATTTTATGCACTGTTCAAACCGAACTGTAGTGGTTTTTTTGCTGTTCGAATAGGGTAAATTTCTAGACTGTTTTGTTCGATTCTGCACTGTATTTTTCAAACAGTTTTTTCTAGTTTTTTTTCCGGAAATAATCTCACCTTGCCTTGAAGAAGGGTAACAAAAAGAGGGAAAAACAAATTCAGATCGAGTTTAAAAATATGGTGAATCAAAGAAAAGGATATAAGGCTCAAAGTGGTTCTCTAGGGGAAAATAAAAAAGGTAGGCTATTTTATTTGGGGAAAAGAAATGAGTTTAATCCTAATGCCTTTATCATATCATTGCATCATAATCAAAAGTGTAGTCTCAACAAGCATCGAGTTACAAGTTCTAGATTGCAATCAATTAGTTCGACACACTCAATTAGTTCGACACACTCAATTAAAACAAAGAGCAAGAATAAAAGATATGCTCATTAGGCTCAAAACTCACATGAAAGGCTTATTAAACTGAGTCATGCTCCAATTCAATCAACAAATCCATGAAATTACCAAGAAAAATTTACATCAACTAGTCATGCCATGCTATCTTGAATCCTAAATTTAACAAGAACATGCTTCAATTCACAAATAAACATAAAGAAATTAAATCAAACCAAAGATCAGCAACCAAGATTATCAACAATTCAAATCAAGAAATAACTCAATTTCAATCAAAGAATAAGCAAAGGCTAATTTGATTTATAACAATTTTAATCAAAGAATAAGTAAAGGCTAATTTGATTTCTAATTCTACCCCCTCACTTAAAATCATATTGACCAAATATGAATAATAAAAAGTAAAATACAAAAGAGAGATGGTTAAAATACTCCCCGATCAATGTCGACCGCGACCATGTCTAGAGGGTCTCGAGTGAAGGTACAAAAGTATCTCAGCAATGTTGATCTCGATGGAGTCTAGATGGCCATGCACCTCATGGATTTTGCTATGAACGTCCGAGGGTGGATGCTCCTCTGGTGTCACGGGTTGAGTAGTCCTCCAAAGAAATACACGCTCATTACGTGGGGTAATTGTGTCAGGAGGGACAATGTGTGGCGTACTGGGAGTTCCAGTGAGGAGTCACATCGACTCCAAACACCTAGCATCCAAATGATCAATTGTAAAAGTATAAATAAATTGATTAGAATCAA